ATATGTGGTATTCTGAAAGATACCAGCTTCAGAACATATTGTAATATTGTTAAAAGATTGTTATCTGCATTCTAATGATCTTCTATGTTCGATCTATTTACTTTCTATCAGACTAACTCTGCCCATGCTGCACTATTCATACCATGTAGGAAACAGCTCAGCAATAACACTCTAAGTTTTATCCAGGGTCTTACAGTCTTTACACAACACTGGCTTGTCCATACAATGTAGTTGGACAGAATGCAAATACTCTTCCTGTCTGTGCATCACAAATAAGGTGTTATGGGGGCCGTAGGATCTCATTTTCCTTATTATTTACTAATTGACGAGTGATCCAGAGGCCCATCTGTTGGCTGTTGTGATTTTCTCTGAATCTTCCTTTTGTCTTTTTGTCATACCTATGTGAGCATGATAGATGTTGATAAGATAGACCAAACATGCCTACTTCTTCAGTTTTAGTTTTGTTTTGGGTTTTTCTGTTTACCTAAAGCAGTCTGAAACTTGAAACAGGTTGTTTTTAAGTTGTATGTATTTATTTGGCAACTTTGCAATCTCCTCTTTAAAAATATCCCACTGATGATCAATAGTTTTTTTTTTGCCAATTTGCCTTTCCACCTACCACAGTTAGCTCACTCCTCATATGTCATATTCTAATCTTGTTATTGTACCAGCTGTTACCCTTGCAGCTTTGACCTTGAACCTGAATCTTGCCATTACTGCTCCCAGCTGCTAGTACACATTTCACTCATCTCCCGGGTCTGTTTGATTACATGTAATTTGACTGTGTAACAACTCAGCTTTTGTAGGGATGCAAATATTCTGCTTGTAGAAAATACCTGAGTCAACTGTTTAAAGATGAGCTGTGGTAAAAATTAATCAAGACTACATAGCTGCTTCTTTCCCTGCCCCTTCCTTGAGCATTTATGAATCTATACGGCAGCAATTAACAGCTGCCCAGTATGATACACAAATCTGGCATGTTAGCGCAACTAAGCAGAGCTAAATAACTGAAGGATCATGTTCATGATCTTACGAAAGTGTTTCATCTGAACATGGTATTTGTACTCGTGCATATATCTTTGTAAAATTTTATTAAGCATAGCAATTTCAGAATGACAATCAACATTGTAACAACAAACTTCAGTATGATGAAGCAACAGTCTTGACAATGAAAGATTCTGCATCCAGCATGGAATCCAATTTGCTCAGAGATCTGAGAATTGGTGATGAAGATTATTAAGTTGTGGTGCTTCCAAATTTCTTGCCATTAAAATCAGAAAAATGTGAGTCCATTCCAGGAACGGAGTCTCTCAATTTCAGGGCCTAATTTTGCACTCAGCAATTTTCAAAAATAAAAGATACAAAATTGAGCTCTTTAGTACCACTGATGTCAGTGTTGTTGGAAGTTAACGCTGATATAAATAACAGCTGATCGACTTCCATTGTAGTCCCATGGCACATCATGCTTGGTAGGGCTCAAGTGCAGACTTAAGCACAAACAGTGGGCAGATTGTGATGTGGTTCAGTATCTAATACAGACTTTGGGGCCCAGTCTGCCTGTTAACAGTCTTTTTTAAACACTTGGTGCCAAACGTGTGTTCAGTTGTATAAGAGACCTGTGGCTAGTGTCATTTAAAGTCATAAGCACAAGACTTTCAGATGAAGTATTATTAACTTTCCTCTACTGCTGCAAAGTCAGTGAAAATTTTGGATTATTGGAAGAATTATTGATTTTTGGAGTCAAAGGAATGTGGTGCTGAGGGTTTTTCTAAGAAGTTCAATGGGGTTTGAAGGATCCTGAGCAGAATATTTGCAAAGTTGCAGTCCCCTTGGGCTGCAGCATAACAGCTTTTCTTATGTAGCAGATTAGGGAAGCTTTACAGAGAAAGAGCAGGGCTCTCAACAAAATGCTAACCCACTTAAGGTATTCAGAAAGCATTTCTAACTCAGGCAGAAGCAATGTTTAAAGACTGCTAAAATATACCATAAGGTGTTGTGCCAACTGTGCTAACTCTTCCCAGCAGATCAGTAGAACATGGTGAAGTTGGTATTTCCAGTGCTCAGGAAGATCACAGTGCCCTCCTTGTAGACCTTGTTATGGTCCCAGCTGACATCAGTTCCCAGACTGAAATATGGTTGATAGATCATGTTGTTTTGATTGTAATGGTCTCTCACTGAAACTTAAACAGGCAATGTTGCAGATTTGTTTTTAAAACACAAGTTGATTAAACAAGATTAATGAAGATAAAATAGAATAAACCAGACTATTTGCTTATCACACAAACTGAAAGATTCTGAATCTCACAGTGAAATATAATCCTATTAATCCCAAAACATTTCTTTACATATCTCAAAAACATCCCTGTATGGTAGCCAAAAACACCTCTTATCTCGTAAATGCACTAGAAAATCCATTCGTCTAACACCTCAATGTATGTAATTTGACTTCAAATCCCAGGCTGGAAAATCTGAGAGCTCTCTTCTTGGAGCTATCACGTACCTGGGTTTAAATGTACTCGGGTTTTTGCAAACCCATTTGGTCTGGAACTGTTACTAATTCCTTCCTCTAATGTTACCTAGTGCCAGTAAATCTAAGTATCTTCTCCATTTGTCAGGACAACTTTACACAGGACAGCTTCTGCAGAACTGTCCAAAACTGAAAGCAAATCTAAAAAATCTCTCCTCTCTCTAAACTACGGGTGTTTCCCCTGAGCATAAAAGAAAAACCCAATCTAGAAATCAAACACTGGTATTCTCAGCCATGATAACAACAGTCTGAGCTCACTTGGCACCAAGCATAGATCTCATGGTCTCTGTCTCAGTCTCCAGTGCATTTCTCAGACTTTGTGTGGTTTGTGCCTTTGTTACACAGGAAGCCAAGACATTGATCACCAATGCAGGATCACACCCGGGAACACAAATGTTTTCATGGAGTTAACCACCATTTCCACACTGAAAAGAATGATTTCAATTTGGAGGTGGATTCCAACATAAAAGAGACTCAGTAATCCCAATTCTCTGTCTTCTGTGTGTCAACTGATCCTCAATCCATTAGCCCCCAATGCCATTAGCTCCTTTCGTGTGCAATAACCTTTACATGACACCTTACTGAATATCTTTTGGATATAAGGGACCAAGGCTCCTCTGGGATTTTGACCTGGGATATTTTGTATATTTATTCATTAGATAACCCAAATCAAGAATCATACCTCTAGCCTGAAGAACCAGCTGCTGATTGCAGTGATCTTACACACAGCTGCTGAAATGTTTCATAGCATTGTTCATTCCAGGGAGCTTAAGGAGATGTATCTGTGCCTATGCCTTGCCAGTGCACTCATTCTCCCACCTGTTATGTATGTCCTTGTGCTGCAAGAGGAAGTAAAGAATGCCAATGAGTTTGTTGCAAAGTTATTGAGCAGTGTGCCCTGTGATCTCTGAATAGCTGAAAAATGTGGAAGCTGTGACATCTGAGTATGTGACTTGCAGCCTTAGTAAGTGTGTGATGGTAAGGTGGAGCTTATGAATGATAGGCATGAGTCCTGATTGCTAGAGTTTGTTGATGGAGCATGGTGCATTAGGGGAAATAAAGCATGGTTTCTAGATGTGACAATCACTTTAGCTGTTAACTTTCAAAGTCAATAGCCTGGAACAAAGATATGGATGACCCAGATGAGTGGAATGAAGTTTGTACTAGGGTGGTCTGCAAATTAAGATAAATCCAATTGATACAGGTTTTCAGACTACAACGGCCACACTGTTGTTTCTGTTCATGTGATTGTGTATGCTAGCTGACTATGTTCAGAAAGTATGATCATAGATTAATATGACAAGCAATGGTACAGGAATGCCGAAATGCTGTGAGTAGCATCCTCATTGTACCAAGAATGAGTCGCAAAACTGATATGGATGGAAGTGATTTGCTTAGCAATCTGTCATTTGAAGAAACTTTGAGTGCAGTTATGAAAGTGCTTTTGAAGCAGACCTTTTGATTTAATCCTGTAGAGAGATAAAAGGAAAAAAAATTACATGGCCATAGAGTAATAGCAGAGGTATGGGGTAAATTAAATAGCTCTTTCAAAGAGGTGCCATGTCATAACAGGCCAAATTTCCTTTCTTCTGTGAGTCATGTTCAAAGAAATTGCAATTTTCTAGCTGACAAAATGTGCAAATTCAATAGTTGGTCATAATTTCCTTTAAAAAATATTTTTCTGAGATTTCTTAATGGATAAATTCAAAATTTGGTTTGAAAATTGATCGTAATTAATTATGTTCTTAAACTACAAGCTGAGCACTGAGTTACAGAGAGTCCTGTAAATAGGCTGAAACCTTTTTTGTGCAAAGCATAGTCTACTGGGAATAGCATTCATGAATATTGTTGGTTCCTTAAAGCCCTGAATACTAAGGAAATAAAAGAAAAAGATTTTGATGATTTATTTACAGATCTGATGGTTAAAACTTGTCTTTTATCCTGGATACAAGCATTTAATAAAGCTTCAAACATTCTCATGACAGGAGACTGATATTTACAGTGCAGCATATAGGCAAAAAATAGACTTACAAAATAAAAGGTTAGTAATTATAAAGTAGTCACTGGGCTCATAATCATTATCACAAAGTTCTTGCATTTGACAAATTTAATTGGAACCTTGAAATTATATTAAAACAACAGGATTTTTCCTTTATGTTGCTTGTGTAGAAGTAGCTCATTATCAAGACTATTGATAGTCTTCTGCAGTGATGATGTTGTGAATTCATGTAATAGCAGAGTGCAAATAATCGCTGTCATCGTGAACGTTCTCAGGTATGTTATGATAGGTCCAGTAATAGAAAAAACAGTTTGAATGCTGTCATAAAAGAAAGTTAAAAATCATCTGTACATGCTATTACAATGTGAAAATAATTTCCTTAGGACAACATTATGCTGTTACTTTTTCATTACAATTGAAATAAATGAAGTGGAAAAGCTTCTGGTCTAATGAAGAGTACTCTATCTTGAGCAGGTCCCTTTTCACGAAGACTGGAGCAGCACTCTTTCACGTGGAAAAGTGGGAGAAATTCCCTGCCGGCGAATGCGTAGTGGAAGCTATATAAAGGCAATGGGAGATGACGACAGCGAGGATTCTGAAATGAGCCCCAAGCCATCCCCAAAGACTGCAGCAAGACGTCAAAGTTATCTCAAAGCCACACAACAATCACTCAGTGAGCAGATCAGTCAGCGGAAGTAAGTGTCTCTATTCATTTCTTCTGTGCATCCTGTTGTTTTGATGCAGAAGATGCATTGTTTTTATTTTATACTAGATAGTGTTTCAGTATTGTGGCTTTCATATTCCTTTTGGGAATCACTAAATTATTAAATATTCTTTGTAATTTGGGATTTGTGAACTACTAATGGTTGGCTCAGGAAATTGTCTGTTAATAACAATGAGAAATTGATCTTGTTTTAACAAAACACATTCAGCGGAAGCAAGATTTTATTCATTCTATGATTTTTTTTGTAATGGAATTCACAAACAAATTTATTATTTGTCAGTTCAAATAAATCAAGATCTGTCCTTTCCATCAGTAAATTTCAATTGCAAACCAGCTCAGAAATAGAGAATTAAAGTTACACCTTCCAGGGCATGTCTCACCTTGCTGGCCATTTAAAATGTTTCAGCAGACAATGAATACTGTGTACTATTTCCATTGTGACAGCTGTAACATTGATTTTTTTTTTAAATGCATTGAGCAGCCCAGATCCAAGCCCAGCATATGACTCGCATGCGTGGCATGACATGACAGTGTAAGTTGCTGCCATAGAGTTTCCAATATTTTTGATAACAACTGGAAATAAAAATCAGTTACACACATGCATATGTGTGCGCGCGCGCACACACACACACGCACACAAACACACACGCACACATGAGCATGAACATTCTAATTATTAACATGGTCCATTGTATTAGCTCCAAATATTAAAATGCAATGATTGAATTATTTACTTAACAATTCCCTTTCATACCAACTCAAAGCACAGAGAAACGGGGACATTGAAATGGGTTTTGTGAAGCTGCTAATACTTTTATTTTAAATATCAGGATGTGAAAACATCCATTATCAGCAGTCATCCACCTCGTATGCTCTGCATAGAGGCAGTCCCTTGCCTCATTATCTGCTTTGTCTTGAGCTACTTTCAGTGGTGCTTTACCATAGGATTCCATTTTCAAATGCAGGATGAGGAGGCAGGTTTGTAGTCTATCTCAGCTGGGACAGGAATCATACCCATGCTGTTGATGTTATTCTGGACCATACATTAGCCATCTAGCTTACTCACCTGACTAGTTTCCCATTATCGATCCTGTCACTTTTACTCATTGTATTTTTCTGAACCTGCCAACAAATCAACATAGTTAAATCTCACAACATAGCACAATGATTGAATGGTGAAACAATTCTACAAATATGCTGGCTAAAAAACACAATCAAGTTCTATCTAAAATGTCACAACATTGTAAGAAATTAATGCTTCACTGTGTTTATGATCGAGTGGAGAATTATAAATTGATATAAAGGTTGTACCACCAGAGCTCCTTTAACGATATTTCAGGGCAAATTAAATCATTTTTATTGACACTTAAAAGGCTATTAAAACATACAACTCAAGAATTGTACAAACAAAGTGAAGCTTTAAAGATGTATCCCCCTTGTGAGAATTTTTTTTGTAATTTACTTCACACCCACATTCCATTGGTTGCCAATGATATTCTCACATAATTGGAAATTGGCTTTCATAACTAAGATCCTTTGGTTCCAAGAAAAATCAATGTTACAAATTGAGGCCTCCTGTAAAACTGAGCCTAGAGAATTGGACACTCAGTGCCTGCTTTCCAGGTACGCACCATCCTCCTGAGCCCCCAATCTGGTGGATAGTAAGGAATCCCCAGCCAGAAAATGCTAGCCACCATACAGAATAGGGTAGATGCCTTGGCAGCATGAATGCATGTTAGGAACATTTAAAGGTGAGACAATTCATTTCAAATTAGATTCTTTTGTAATCGTTTGTTTTCCAAATAACTCCACACTTCATTCACCATGTCATAGAGTCATAGAGATGTACAGTACGGAAACAGACCCTTCAGTCCAACTTTTCCATGCCAACCAGATATCCAAAATTAATCTAATCCCATGTGCCAGCATTTTGCCCATATCCCTCTAAACCCTTCCTATTCGTAGACCCATCCAGATGCCTTTTCAATGTTGTAGTTCTACCAGCTTCCACCAACTTCTTTGGCCGTTCGTTCCATACACGCACCACTCTGTGTGAAAAAGTTGCCCCTTAGGCCCCTTTTAAATCTTTCACCTCTCACCTTAAACTTATGCCCTCCAGTTTTGGACTGCACTAACCTTGAATATTCAAGCTGTCCATGCCCCTCATGATTTTATAAACCTCTTTAAGGCCACCCCTCAGCCTCCAATGCTCCAGTGAAAATAGCCCCACCCTATTCAGCCTTTCCCAATAGCTCAAACCCTCCAACCCTTGCAATATCCCTGTAAATTTTTTTCTGGACCCTTTCAAATTTGACAACCTAGCAACACACAGTAATTCATAATAACCTGAGCACTTGGAGAGGAAATCATTTTTACTAATTTTCCAAATTCATTCAAATTTAAATTGCTTAGCTAAATTTAAATAGATTTCATTTTTATTTTATATTTAGTTCAGAGTTCTTCCCAAGTAATACTACATTTTCTAGTCTTGTCGCTTTAAGTCCTAACATATTGAATACATGTTGAGATAGGTCACCCTCAATTGCAACTTCTAGATTGCACTTCCAATGCACTGTCTGCTCAAGTGTTTCACTTGAATCCTGCTCCCCTAGCATTTCATGTAAACCTAATTCTGAATCTAGGTTGCTAGTAGCCTACCTAAGAGATAATGTTCTGAAAAACTACACCTTCAATAACACAAATCCCCATATGGAACTTTAAACCTTGCTGTCAAAGATATGACTAATTTCCTGGAAACTACATCATATATGTATCTGGACATATTTACTTTAATAACTCAAGTCATCTTTTTTGCAATTTAAATATACCAACTTTGAGTTCAGAGCTCTGAATATTAAAGGCAACCAGAGGATCAAAACCATAGGGACTAAAGCCAAACTGGCACTTCATCTATTAATCTGAAGTGCTAGTTTTGTGCCAACAGATAGCAATAAATAGCTATGTTTATTCAATTCATGAAGTTATGACACACACTGGAGTATTAATCTTTGTGTCAATTCCTCCTGTTACAGAAGGCACAATTGTGGTTACTTTGAATTTGAAAACTTGACATTTGTTGCAATGTCGTTTAAATCTTTGGTCTTTTGGATGAGACATTATATCGAGGTCCACTGAGGTAAAAGATCTATGGCAATATTTTGAAGCAAAGCAGGAGAGTTATCTCTTGTGTCCTGGCCAGAATTTGTCCCTCAGTCAGAATCACAAAAAAACAGATCATCTGCTCATTATCATATTGCTGCTTGTGGGAGATTGCTGTGCAAGTATTGGCTTCAGTGTTTGCTCCAAACAACAGTGCCAAACTTCAGAAGTACTTCATTAGATGAAAAGCACTTTTAGGCATCCAGAGATAGTGACAGGTGCTATGTAATTGCATGCCTTAATTTTCAAATGTATTTGAAGCATCCTGAATTTAAAAGGAATTTCAGATATAACACTTCCTTATTTTGTGCTTCTTCTGCGCACAAATGTCTTTCAGACTACACTGCAGATCCAACAACAGAAAAAGCCAGGACTGTGTTGCTTGGCAATCCAATAGGAAATTGTCCCTAATAGGACAATGTCAGCTCAACTCAATCACAATTAGTCACGTCTCACAACCCAGACAATCATGCCTTATGGCTCCTTTGCAAGTCTGTGAATGACCACTGAGAAACTGCAGAGGATATCCTGGAGTCTGGATGGGAACACCTCCCTCATTTTTTTTAAAGAGACTGTAAAATCCTGATATTGATGAAACCATTTGCGTAGACTAACCTTAATTATCAACTGGGCACCAGTATAGCACGCACATCAATAGGATGAAAATTTCACTCTCACTCAAGTTTGCTTGACTTTCTGATTTGTTCACAATTAAAAACTCTCAATTTAATGCTTAATTGTCTATGGTAATAGTTTTGCATCACATGTACAAGAGTGAATTGGGCAATGTTAAATATCCTTTGGTTAGATTGACAAGCATTCCACAACCTTGTATTCAATATTTCCCTATGGTCTATTGATGGTTACATGAAATCTCACCCTTCATGTCAGATAATTCTTTATTCCCTTCTAAAAAGAGTCAACACAGGAAAAGCACATTTCGTAGGTCAAGAACATGCTTTAAGTCATACTGCCAAAATTGGAAAAACCTTAATGCTAGTAAATATTATTGTGCAAATTCAGCATATTTCTGGCATTTTTTCATAAGTGAGCCAAAATCCAACTAGATTATGAATCAGTTTGAGGATTTTGTTTCATTACAAAACCTGGAAGTTTGAACTGCACAATGATCAGCCTTTTTGTGAAGTTTTTCCTATTCCTGGTCCTGAATGAACTTCTCAACTTTTACACCCTCTTCCACTATTGTATCAGTTCACTTTGGATTTACTTTACTATAAACGTCTGACAATACTATAACTTCATGGTTGCCTGTTTTTAAAGTAGACACAATTGTTTGTTAATTCATCATATTCTTCAATCAATTTTTAAAATTTTCTTTGAATAATTATTAATTCGCTTCAGAATACAGCTGGCCCAACTCTCCAAAACCATGCCTCTCAGTCAACTGCAGTGATAACATAATAACAAGCATCTGACTTTATCCAACATGTGAGGAAATGGAGTTGGGCTGTAGGCAACTGGGAATTGTATGGCTGTGTGAATACAAGTTGTCAATATTTGAAACACAGAGAGCTCAGGAAGGTAATAAGCGCATTATACCTATTTGCTTTCTAATAATGATCTATCCTTGGCTTCCTTCTATTTCTTGATTACGTGCTGTCCCTAGGTAATCTCATCCAATTACACATAGCATCAGTTTACAAAGATACTTAAGAGAATAACCTGCAGTAGTTTCTCTCTTGTTCCTGAATCATTACTTCTGGATTCTCCCATGGATCTATGCTTGGCCTTCTCCTCCACATTTCTCATCTACTTCCTCCTCCCAATGGCAGCATCTGAGTACAAAGCAGG